ACTGACCAGAAAGTATACTTTAAATGAATGAATTGTACTATGTGTGAATTATATCTCAATAAAGCTGCTAATGAAAAATTAACATGCCTGGGCCGGCCCATGCCTCACTCGGGAGAGTGCGGTGCTGATAGCGCCGAGGCCATGGGTTCGGATCCTATGTAGGGAGGCTGGAGTGCTCACTGGCTGAGCGTGGTGTGGACAACACTGAGCCAAGGGTTGCGATCCCCTTACCAGACAGAAAAAAAAAGAAAAAAAGAAAAATTAACATGCCTGATAACATTCACAATAGCGTTGGCATGAAAGATTGAAGAAAATTAAGTGAATCTCAAATAGCTTCCATATAATGCTAAAAGTACATAATCCCTGACATCTGGTCTCCCTGTTACAAAATATTTTCTCATAGTGACCAATATTTGCTCTTCCAAACACTCACCATCACCATTATTCATGTATGCCTTCTCCTCCAGAATATAACCTCTATGAGGACAGAGACTGGGGCCTTCTTATGCAGTGCTGTGATATTAGTACCTAGTACAGAACTATCAATAAACATCTGCAGTAAGAATTAATGTATGTATGTACATTTGTAATAATGAAATTATTGGATTGCAGCAATTCAACCAATCAGGTAGTAGTGTTCTAAGAGGCCCCTTAAATCTGTTCTCCAATTTTTCCCAGGCTCTTGGCCACCCAGGTAGAGACATTTCCCAGCAGCTCTTAAAGCCTGTTGGGGCCGTAAGACCATAATCTTACCAATGGAACATCAATGGGTGTGACACATGCAATTTTCAACTCTCTTGCTCACAAGAAAATTGCTTGCCTTGGATTTTTCCACAGTGTGACAACAACCTAGCTTCAACCATGCAGACAAGGAAAAAGCCCCAAGAAAGGAGCACAGATGTTAAGAACTTGCCCAGGCAAGCTAGACTAGCCAGATTGTTATAGGAGAGAGAAGTAAAATTCTATTTCGCTTAAGCCAATGTAGTACTGTGGTCTCTTTGTTACATCAGTCTAATCTTTACTCTGACTGTTACAACTCAGGCATGGGTATATTGTGAGTTTGGAGGGCAGGGGCCGTTTTAATGCTTAACTGAATTCATTGATAATATTTCAGCCAATGTAGTTAATCTGATAACTCAATGAAAACTCCCTCACAGTGTCCTCACAACTTCATGAATTAACAGTCACATAATTCAAATACTAAATGCTATCAAAAGTCATTTTGAATGGGTTTACTTCAGAATTGTTGTTGACATTAAGTTAAACTTAAATCACAAAAATATACACTTCCAAAAGAGCCAATAAATATATTTCAAATAGCTGAACAGTATTTTTAGCTTTATTTTTAACCAATAAATAATTTATAATATGTAAAACATAATGAATGGAATCTATAATGATGCATTATATATAGCTCTTTCATCTAACATAAAACAGCTCAAACTGGGAGCAGGGTGGGAGAAAAATTGCAATTATTACACTTTCTTTTAGGTTGTTTTTTAACTTTCTCACAAATAAGTTGACTATAAGAAAAGCAAACACAGAACCAACACATAAAATTTGAAGCTTAAAGATGCCGAATGTTTAAAAATAACCTCTTAATTGTCTATCTGGGCTTGATGATTATCCTCAACTCTCAATGCCATTCAGACTTAAATACAAGATGATGGATTTTATAAACTGGAGTTGAATTTTAAGCAAAATGCATGTGGGTAAATTGTCAATGGTGAGGGAAAACAGGGAGAAAATGCTACATAAGCCTTGATTAAATCACCAAACCAAGGCAGCCACAATAGAAAGATGTCAATATAATTGTGACCAGAGCAAGCTCTCTTTTTAGTTTCCATCTTGACATTCTAGATGACCTTGGGTAAGTTACTTATCATCTGCAAGACCTCTTTCCCAGTCTGTAAAGTGGGGATTATAATAATTGCCAGCTACCTCTCGGGAATGCCAGCAACCAGACCCATTTTGTAAAGTGCTCAGATCTACTTGGAAGAAAATTGTTATATCACTACCAAGTATGATGACTGTTATTTACGATTCTTCGGACCTTTGAATCTAAATTTTTTTAAATGGCTGCATCTGGTTTTCTGAATTTGCCTGACCACTTTTATACACATAACCAGTTGTTCCCATAGTGCCTTTATAGGCACATTTATTTTCATCTATACTGACTATTAATGATTCCCAGATTTCAAATTTGGGACATGGTCTTTACAGAAAAGCTCCTGGCATCTGAACTCTGCGTACTTCTAATAGTGTGAAAGATGGTGCTCATTTTTTGTCCATTACGAGATAGCAAGATCTTCTCTTTGTTTAAGGCTAATTCACCAGGAAAAAATATCAACCATTACAGTCATTTGATACATCTTATTTTATTTTATATTTGTAACAAACCCTTTTTTTCTTTCTATATGAGATCAAGATATATAAGAATTAGTTTTTGAAAGACCAATGAGCTTGTTTAAAGATAAAAATTGCACATAATTTACTATTTATTTGAGTCTACATACCCTAACTTATTTCCAAATGAAAATTAAAATTAGAATCAAAACACAGATGGAATAGATACTGTTGAACAAAAAAATGTTAAACAATAAAATGTTCACTGGGGATAGGAAGAGGGAAGACTATATACGAAGAACATAAATAAAGACAACGGCAAAATCTAAAGTTGAGAAAAAACTGCAGAGATTGAGCAAAATCTCTGAGCTTCCTAGCAGTTGAGTCCAAAATTAAAACTATATGGATGTATTACTCAACTTTCTTTATGCCATGAAAGGTGGCATCAGGAAGACAAAATATTTTTATGATCCAGGGACCTTATTTGCAAGATACTGAATGATATAATACATTATGTACTTCATGGTGATTATAAAGAAAACATTTTTTTGTAACATGAACTATCTTTTTATTTATTTATTTATTTATTTATTTTTTGACCAGTAAGAGGATCGCAACCCTCAGCACGGTGTGGTCCGTACCACGCTCAGCCAGTGAGTGCACCAGCCATCCCTAAATAGGACCGGAACCTGCGGCCTCATTGGCCTCAGCGCTCCTAGCACTGCACTCTCCCGAGTGAGCCATGGGGCCGGCCCAACATGAACTATCTTTCTCAACCAATGCTAACGACAGTTTCCTAGAAACTGTTTTTCCCCCAATTTCCCTTGATCCATATTTTTAACTTTGAATAATATCACAGAATTGGGGGGAAAAAATCAGTTCCATTTTCAGGTAACGGGTGTTAAGTGTGGACATATCAAGATATCAAGCCAGAAGAAAAATAATTCATGTTTACGGGTGATTCCAAAGAAAAGAATGAAAACCTATCAATAAAACTCTTATTTAGAGCTGTATGGATAAGGAAACTTTTAAACTGAATTTGCCATCTTTTCAACCGGTCTTCCAGCTTTGTTTAATCACAATTTTTAGCTTCACCAGAAACCTCGGCTTGTAGCATGAGATGAGTTAAACACCTGGCATGACTTTGCGTGAGCAGAATCTTGGATTGAGATTGCTCTGAGAGATCACAGAGATCAGGAGACAGCAAATTACAGCCCAGCTGAGTAGCTGCAACAGAGACTGAATAGACCCCAAAGCAGAAAATACTTACTATATTGTCCCTGCCAGAAAAAGTTTGCAGATCTCTGCTATAGACTAACCCCTTTGTTTTTAAGACTGGAAAACTGAGTCTCAGCAAAGAGAAGTGCTTTGCCAAAAGTTTGCTGTGACTTGATAACCCCAATTACTGGTTGGGATCAACCCCTTCTACCCAAGAACAGCTTAAAAGAATACCTGTCCTCTTTGGAGAACAATTAGATGGTTCCTACAAAGGTTTAATTTAAATAATATAGATGGTAAAATGAGGCAAGTCTAATTTTTTTGCCCAAATCAAATGTGCCAGAATGCAACTATAAAAACAAATCTCTACCCTTTATAATGTATTCTGGAATGCCAAAACACTGGGTGACATTGAAAACAAAACTGATCAAAGAATTTTCACATTCTGAAAGTTCCACAAAATACCTTTTTCAACTAAAGAGTAAGAGGTCTGTATATTACAAATACATAAACTTTAATTTAGTAAAATCTGAGCAAAGGCTTTGTTCAATCATGCCAGCAAGTAACCCGTTTTTAAACAGACAAAAATCTACTAAATCAAATGGAACTATTAAAGGCCCAAATTCAAAAATGAAATGAAGATGCCAGTACTTGAGAAACATCAGATGTTAAAATGGCCTGCAGGATTATCTTGTGTAAGATGATCATTGCCCTTATCAGAGAGACACTTTTGAAATCAAGTAAATATGTAGCATCTATAACCATTTTAACCGAGTGCTTTGTTGTTTGCCCCTCCCAAAAGTGAATTTGAGAAAATTAAATTTGGCTTTAATTCATCAAGCTCCATCAGTCTCTCTGAAAACTTCTAATTTTAAAATCAAGTACTCATTTGATTTTCAAGCAAGGTCAAGAGAACAAGGCAGCCTAGAGCTGACATTACAGGGATATGCCCCACACCGCTCAGCAGTTACATCAATGTGGCGTGTTGCTATGGCGCCTGACTATTAATTTCTGAAAGAAGGTGATTATAAAGCCGCCAGATGAACATCAATTGGATGACACCACTTCAGCACAGAACACTGACATGCATTACTCTTGTTTGCAGCAAGTTTATTTTATGAATCACCACTTCTGTGACGTGAATATTCCTTTCTAACTTTAAACCTACCAAGTCAACAAGCAAAAAATAATAAGTTCAGCTTCAGCAAACAAAGGAAAGTTTGATAACATTTGGGGAAAAAATGTGATTCTGTGGACCGTTTCTTAAGGGCAATCTTTTCTTTTAAGACCTCCAAAAAAATGCTACATACATACTTACATACAAATACATATATGTATACTTGACAAATACAGATCAGAAAACCACTGAAATAAAATGCCTAGAAGGCAGCAGATACAGCCCTAGATATAATTCTGCTAATCACATTTACATTTACCTTTTTTGACTTCTGTAAAGCAATCTTCAGTTATAGTCACCTCAAAAGGTCACTTCTCACCCTGAAAACAAAAGAGAACGTCAAAATCTGAATGTCAAGAGAAGTAGCAACCACCTGTGCCTGGGATAGACTCAAGCAAAACAACAAAGAAACTCAATTATATTTAATGGCAAATGACTTTCAGAGTTAATAAAAACAAGTCCCAAGATCTCCACTTACCTGGCCCACATGCCTTTGAGCTCTTCAAGACAACAAAATCAACTTGGATGGAAAAAGTCAAGGTGAAACATTTCAAATTTTGTGTATGAACTTTTTCTCATCTTGTCATCTATCAATTTATTTTCACGTGGAATAATATGTGACTCATAGGTCTTTGTTTTTGGAAACCAGGCTGCTATCTGAACGTGTGTTTCTGTTTGGTTAACGTCCACAACATCTCTAATTTCATTAAAGCAGAGGCTTATTTTCCCCTTTGGAAGAGAGTTAGTTTTTGGAGACAAGATGCTTTATGCCACTCTGGACCTTTCAAAATGAATAAAAGCACCAAAATTTTCAGTTTTGGGGGGAGGTTAATAGCTGGTGAAAGCTGTTCACAGAATGTTTTTCACTTAGCATGTATCTACCAGATCTACTAAGTTAAATAAAAATGGTTCATGTCCGACAAAATAAACAATTGAAATCAAGCTTCCTAAAACACAAAGAAAGCATGGAACACATTTTATCCTACATCTACTCCTGCATCTGCATACTCCCTTATGCAAAACAGTGTGTAATCCTTTAAGAAACATTACAAGCTGCCTCTTTCTGCCCATGTAACTGGGATCAACATATGGCACCAGTGAAAAGAAAAACATTTGTTTATTAATTTAGATCAAGTTACTAACAGGGTACAGGATTCATTTCACATCCATTGACCAAATGCTCATATAATTTTTTTAAGATGGTGAAATCGTACCAGCATTTTACTAAAATGTTAATATCCTTTTGCTCACTCTTCAGAACAATATGTAATGAAGTGGCTTTAATTTTACATGAATGTATCCCTTCTTATCCCTCTGCTGTCGGCCCTGAATGAGGAAAGGCAAACATTCATTGAGAAGAGTAAAATCTTATTTCACTAGGGCTGAAAATTTGAAAGTGGCACTTTGGTGTGTACTATCTTTGAGGAATTGATCCGAGGCCAATTTATGACATTTCCACAAGCAAGTGTATGCAGATTCTTGCCATTAAGATTGGAAAAAGATGCAGGCTCTGAGTAAAATCATTATTTTCATGTTTACTGTAAGAGGAAATTGGAGGTTTTCACCATAAATGCTCATCATTTGGGTGGGGGAAAACCCTAGGTTAGGGACTTAAAATTACTATTTTGCAACCTGACCAAAACCTTTATGTTTTTACACAAAACAATTCAAATTGAAAATGAAAATTGTGTGCTTTACTGCTGATGTATATCCCCAGGATTGGTTTCTCTCGTGGTGAGAACTCTGTTTCAGGGACAAGCAGCGATAAGAAAGAATAAAGGAACAACAATAGGCAGGTCCTCAAGGTGAAGCAGAGATCTGCATAAGAACTCAGTAGATACAAAGCACAGCAATATCTTCCACACCAGAAATTTCTACCTCCACCAATCATCAAATCTTAAATGTAAAGCAAGTGAACTTTGGCATACCCTACTCAATTCAAAGCAAGAATATCCTTTTGTCCCTCTTGAGATGTTCTCTAATACATGCACTCTAAACTAATTTATATGTTTATCTATTGAGCTGTGTCTATTTTTGCATGTTTGGCAGTCAGACCTATAGTATTAGACTTTGCAATGCAGATGAGATTTGCTATCATATAGGCCTGGCAAACAACTGGACCTCATTAAAATTTTATTCTTTTAAAAACTGATGAAAATGCCTACTTCAAATAAAGTTTTCTTTCATGCTGCACTTGAACCTGCAGAACATTTTCAGGTAAGTGCTAGGCCTGTTTCTTGCTCACCTATTTACACTGTATAGTATATAAGTGAACACAGAGTGAAAACAGAAGCAGGTTCATCCTCAGATTTTACAAGTGTAATTTTTTTCCTGGGGGGAGAAAATAAATAACAACAAAATTATACAATCTACTCTCCAACTTATAAATACTAAAGCAATAGAAAATTGGCTACATTTTCACTTACACATAAAAAAATTGGCAATGGGAAACAAACTATATTTTTCTCCATTTTGAGGTTCCATAAATTTTAATGCACATGCACATTTGACCACTCATTAATTTATCTCTGTTGATTTTAGTTTTTAGAAAAAGTATACATTAGCAAAGTAATCAAAAAGATATTTCTCTAGTTTTGCTGAGAAAAAGATTAATAGTTCAACAGCTGTTTGCCATCATGTTAAATTAAATGAAATGTGTCAATATAATAGACAAGAAAATTAGGGGATAGCACTGGGGCCCGAGTCTGCATCATTACCAGCTTAGAAGAATAGAAAAGCAACAACTAGGAAAAAAATCTGCATTTCATTTTTTTCCAAAACATAAAACTTCCATTTTCAAAACTATTTCTGCTACTTTTTTTTAAATAACCACTTTTACTTATCAAATATATCAACTATTTACCTGTATGCTTACTGGGAGTACTGTGCCAAAACTAAAATTAAATGATTATGTAAATCTTTTGAATATTAGAAAAAAAAAGATAAAAGAAATCTATTCCCTTCTTCCCCTCCAGCTTACTTACCTTTTTTAAAAAAATGCTGTCAACATACAAACTGCACTTTTTTTATCCTCTTTCTTTTTTAAGTTTCCTATTGGTTTTAGACTTTAAAAGTGAGCCAAGGATACAGTAAACATAAATTATTTATTTTCCTTTATGTCCTTCTCTATGAAACAGTTAAGATCCTGTGAACACTAGAATTGTTCTGTGGCTTCTTGCCTGTTGATTGCAATAGTGTCATTTACCTGAAGGTATGTGAAGATCACAAAGACCATGACCAAAACAGCAAACTTTAGCTGCCACTTCTAGGATCTGAGATTTGATGCACCTTCCTCTTCGTTCTGCCCCTTCCTTTCCTCCCCAAAGTAGGAATTTTACTCTGTAAAACCCTTATGTTACTATAATGCTCCAGTGTTAAACTTTATCTGTGTGATATGTAATACATAGTGCCAACTACTATGTCCTACTTGGAACTGAGTTGCAGGTAAGTGTGGAGGTATGATCTCATTTCACAGGACTGAAAATAAACAGTATATACTTTATTTTTGCCATTAAAAGTATTTCCCTCTTTTCTTTCACGGCAGCTAAAACTGATGATCTGCATCAGGATTTCTGCATTATGTTTCATTTTGTGTAATTATGCGAAAGCGACTCTGAAGGATGGCCAACATCTTATCTCAGCCTTCAGCCCAACGAATGCTGCCTGAGAACTGACTGTGTGCCAGTCTCACTGGGATGAGCAAAGCCGGCCTCTGGCCCATGATGATGGGGCAGGTTAGTAGGTCTCTGGCTAGAGGACCTCTTCTGTTTCTTGAAGTTCAGGAATGTGGTTCAAACTTCCCATACCTCCAAATCCTCCAATCAAATGGCATCTACATTCTTCATTTGCAAAAACAGGTCCAAAGGGGCCAATTTCTAAGAGGTTGCTGCCACTTTAAGTAATGAATCTTAACTCATATGGGCTTTTATGTCTTGTTTTTCAATGATTTATTAGAAAACAGAAGGATATCAACACATATTTAACTAGCTGAAAAATTACAATACACGAGTCACTTTATTTTCTGCACTTAAGAAAAATCCACTCATAAGTAAACCCCAGAGTTTTTTCTATGCTCTTATGACTTCAAATATTCAGTCACGTTTACAGAAAGAAAAAGGGGAGAGAGAGAAGGAAAGAAGGAAGAAAAGAAAAAGAGGAAGAAAGAAGGGAATAAACAGAGAGAGCAAACAGGGGAGGGGGCAGTGGAGGAAGGAAGGAAATGGAAAGAAAGAAGAAACTGTGCAGTCTAGGTCTCTGCAACCAGCAGCGACCTTGGACACCACCCAAGCTTGCTGGTTTACAAATACTGCATTTCTTTTACTTGTCTTTATCAAAGAAATGTGCTACTTTGGATTTATCATTCCCTAAATTGCCCTCCTATCCCTGCAAGTAACATTTTGTTTCTTTTCTCCTCACCCTCTGAGGACCCTCCCCAAATCACAATGCCTAACTTTGGGGGTCCATTCTAGTAGGCAAAAATCTAAAACACTATAAATAAATTTAGCCACGTGGTGCAGGCAACCACAGCCGATGCTTACCCGTGAAATTACTTCAGGCTGGCAGCCCCCCCAGTAACTCCACGTTGGCCCATCTCATTTCAAAAAATGACTCTTGCCTTACAGAAAAGTAAAACCCTGGTCATGGTCATGTGAAAATATTTTATAGGTATCCTTTAACAGCCTTTAAATGTTGAAACCTAAAAACAATATTTGCTGTTTTCCCTTTGAAGCTCTAACAAAGCCTTTGTTTTAGATTTACCTTTAGTGTGCAATAAGAGTTAATAATCAAATCCATCCCAACCCCCACAAATGTTAAACAAAAAGATAAAAGAAATGCAAATAGCTATTGTCATGGAAAGTTAAAGTACCTGTCTGTATTTTTAAGTGAAAACTATTATCTCTATCAATCAAAATTTAAGAATACAATAGCGCTAATCACAGAAGGTGCTCCGATGGAGTTACTTTTCCTCATATTAAAAAAAAAAGTATTTTTCTCCTTAAAAACTGAGTATAAAAGTCATATACTTACAATTAGATAGAGTATTTGTAATTTTATTATTAAAAACCCTCAGCAGCCTCACTGTTAATAAATGCTTCTAAGTCTCTAGACTGATTTGTACCCAAGAAGACCCAAGTCTCTACATATTTTAATAAGGTTGATGAAATTTTATTTAAATTTTCACAGTTTCCAACCTGCGGGGGAACAGCACACTCTTCTGTTGAAAAGAGTTACTCAAACAGAGGCAACAGTTAACTGGTAATGAAAACTCCTTCTTTTAGACACTGGACAGAATTCTTACACCCTGAAAATCTTTACATAG